CATGAAATCAATGGCAAACCTCAGATGTATTTTAGTGGGAGAAGTAGCAAGTCCAACACTTCTATCCCTGGGGAACAGGAAAGCGATGCTAAAAGAACCCAAAGTATTGCTTACTGAAATACATTTGACATGAACTACTGAATAGGCAGAGTCCCATGACTAAAGGCATCCTGAAATGTGATAAGGCAGTCAGAAGAGAACTTACTGCTTTTCAAAAGAGAACACTGGAACTACACAAGCACAAAATGTATTACTTGATAATGGATATGTTTTTGGCAGCAGTATCATGTGCGTCTACAAGGTCATTTATGTCCTGCAATAGTTGCTTTATAATGAAAGGCAAAAAAACCCCCACAGTAATTAGATCCCCCTGCATCAGGAAGGCAACAGATCCCTCTTTACTTGACAGATTTCAGATTCCTTTATCCTCCTGTGAGTCTCCACAATCCTCACATTTCTGTTATATTAAGACTCTTCTCATCCCTTCCTCCTTTATTCCTGTGTGGAAAGTGCACATCAAACCTTTATCTCTTTCTATTTGAGCCAAGCATATTGATTTCACTCTTCTGCAGCACCACAGCTGTGCGTGACACTGTGCGGCTTTGGAGTGCATGGAAAATGAGGAGTCCATCCCACAGATTATCTGTGACACTCTCAAGAATTAAAGTAAATACTGCTATTTCAAACAAGAGATGAAGTAGCAGCTGGTTTTGGCTGGCTGAATCAGCAGAGGTTTTACAGGATGTGATGGAATTTAAACACAAGTGTCACAGGCCTCAGTAGAGGAGCAGTGGAACTGGAGCCTGCCCTGTCCTCTGAGGGAGCATGCACAACCTTGTGTGTACCCACACGTGTGCCCCACAGAGCTCCCTGTAGCAAAGGTACAAGCTAGAGGTGCAAAAACAGGGAGCCTGACTACATGCAAACTCAGCACGTGGGCCCCTCCAAGGAGGTCTGACCAGCTAAGGCCTCAAAGAAATAAATAAAGCAGCTGTGTCTGTGGCATCACGCTGGCTGGGACACAGCCTGACCACCCTCTGGTGAAGAATCTTTTCCTAACACCCAATTGACCCTCTTCTAACACAGCTCCATGCCATTTCTTCAGACCCTGTCGCTGTCACCAGAGAGCAGGTACAAACCATGCTCTGTCATCAAAGGTTTTGCCAGCATTGCATAATCTTGACCTAAAAACTCACAATAGGCACTATGATGCTGTTGGAGGTATTTTGCCTGCTATGTGTGTGAAGGCAAAAGAGAAATGCAATCTGTAGCCACATCATCCTTAATGGGCTGCTATGCTTGTGCTGAAAGTAGCCATGCACTGGTAGTAGCAGCATTAGGCAATGTCAGCCTCACCAGCCCTCTGGGCCTCTCTGTATGCTGATGGAGAGCACAGGATCCCCTCAGGAGCTGTGGACTGGGCTGCTGGACTTGTTCCTGGCATTCCCACCCCACCTCCCAGCTGATGCCCCTTGGTGCCCTGTGAGCGAGATGCGGCAAGTAGGCTTTGGAAGAGAAGGAAGCCATTGGAAGAGAAGGAAGAAGGAGGAAGTGGTTGTGCTGACTTGGGAGAAAGACATTTTTTGAAGAACCCCATTGCCTGGTGCAAAGCATGAAGCTTTTCAGTGGGTACCAACAATATGGTCAATACAAACAGGCAGGGTCTACTAGTTCTGATTGCCAGAACCTTTCCACGTGCACAGGGCCCAGCTTCCCCTTCTCTTCCAGCTTATCTCCAGCAGCATTTCTTCCAAGCTAAACAAAACCAGGGGCTTTTAGGAACTTAGAAATGTCTGTTTAGTTTCAGCTTCGATAAGCTCCTGCTTCAACTCATTCTTAATGTATCAAAATTAAATGTTTTAAACATATTTATCTGGTTGCTATGGTTTTGCCTGATGCGTCAGACACTTTATCCATCAACTATGACAATTGAATAATATTTTTATTTTTAGATATGGATCACAGATCCATCTCTACATATTGGTCCCGTCCTCCCCTCGGACCCAAGTTTTGAACTCACTGGAAAATCTGTTCCATAATACGGTCAGTAAATGAATTACAGTCACAGATGGCCCCTGGAGATTTCATACATGCTGCAATTCATTTGTCAGGAATGGAAAAAAAAAGACCCTGTCTTGTGAGGGTATTATCAGAGACAGCAGATCAGACGCCGTAATGCTGCCTTGCACTCTGGATTCTCCCCATTTCCTAAGCTTTTATGACTCTGCATTTGCTATTCCTGGATTTGAAATTTTTTAAATGGAAAGTCAAACTCCAGAATGAAAATGATTGAATGCAAGGGACTGCAGCATTTATAAATTAGGATTTGTTTTTACAGACCTGAGTGAAACTATTGTTCACTATTGCAGAGAGATGCTCAAGAACTGCAATGTTCTGTTTGGGCAATAGTAATTATCAGAAGGGACTTAATTCACAGAGGACTGTTGGGAATTAGTCAGACTCTCAGACCACCTCAAGTGGAAGAAAATGTTAGAAAAATAAGAAAAAAGAAATACAGTATATAGTTTTGCTACTTGTGTACCTTGTTCAGTGCAGCCATGAAGCCTCCTTGCAAACCAGCACAGGGGTCAGTAATCACTTTGCCTCTGAATGGAGGAAGGAATGGAATGTCTGATGTATCAGGCAATGGGGAAACCTTCCTCCTGCAACCACCACAGAGCATTCAGCTCCCAAGTGAATATGACAAACCCCTTTTTGTTTATTACAGAGTAAAATGTAGTGTGTTTATTTAACTGTCCACACTTACAAACTGTCACCCTCTTGCATAGCCTGATTGAGAGAGGCAATACTTACTTTTTCTGAACAGTTAGCCTTTTCAGAGTGTCTTTTCTTACCTTACATTGCATCCTATGATTGGGCCTGATGGACAACACAGTCTGATGAGCAGCTGTGGGAAACAGTGAAGAAGGTATTTTTCCCAACCTCAGACACAGCAGCTGATGCTGAGAAGTAGCTGAGAGGCCCCACTCCGTGACAGGGCTTACTTGGGATCCAGAGAAAACCACCCGAAGCCTTTGGCCCACATTTCTAAACGTGGCTTTGACCCCAGGGAGGATTCTGCCCCCCTGCAGACCCTGTGCCAGGGCTGAATGTGGCTGCATGGGCACACATTACTCACATGTTGCTCACAATTAGTCCTGCAGCTTGAGGTTATGATGCTCTGGTAACCCTCACATGAGTGAGTTAAGCCTGTGGCCATGCAGCTCAGCGCATCGCTCTGGATATGTGCATGGCAACCTGGGCAGGGTGCTGTGGAAGGGCAGGGGTGCAGAGTGCTGCTGTGCTTTCAGCAGCCCCATCAGTGCAGCTGACAGCAGTCAGCGTCTGCTCCCTGTCTCTGTTTGCACTTCATCGAGTTATCTCCTCGCAAGTGAAGGACTCCCAGCTGATTGAACAGCACGTTCATCATCTGGATTGCCCCAGTATCTCTTTAAGCATTAATGGTGCCATAAAAAGCCCACCAGAAAAGCAGAGGGAGATCTGCTCTATTTTCCACTAAAAGCTTTTGCAGAGCCAGATTAAGATCCAAAGTGAAACAAAAAACAAAAAACAAACCAACACAAAACACAACAAAATACACAAAACTCCAGCTTTTTTCCCCACTCAAACATTGATCAAGGAACATTAAACAAAAAGATTAGTCCTGCTCTTATTTGTTTGCAAAACAAAAAGCATGAAATATTTAGCAGCATTGTAATGCAAACCAGATGGGAATAATGCGGGCTTTCAAGGCTGCCTATAGCCGCCCCTTTCATGCTGCTGCATTGGGGATGGTGCAGGCAGCCCATTAGGACAATTTATGAACAGGACCGCCACAGAGGGAGTTCTAGCGAGAGGTCCGCAGCTCATACAGAGCAACCCCGATAACATCTGTTAGGGTTATTCATTGAAGAGGATTATATTACAATCCTTCTTAATACCACGAGTGCTACAGTAAAACCGGATGAAACTTCAGTTTCATTTGCTCCAGCAACATGCGTTTATCGGGGAGTTCTTCTGCAGTTGGAAGCAGAGGCTGCGTTCGTGGTATGTAAGGGAATGAAACTTAGAAAGACTGAAATATTAACCTGGGAAACCCCAGCACTGCTTTTAATCTCTCATGGCCACAAAGCTTGGCTTTGGCACGCCATCAGCCCTTGTCCATGGAAAGCCACTCTCTGTTATCTCTCCAGGGCCGAGATTGATTTTATTTAAATAGTTCTCATTCGGTAACCTTGCTCCATCCTCCTTTATTTAAGAATTTGTTAATGATGTATTTTTTCCCTTAATTTACCTAATCTCATAATGAATGTTCACATCCAACATGACCTCATTACTCTGGCAAAGACTTTCGTGTGCATACAATTTAGGGCACAGGCGTACATCAGAGGAGAGCTCTCTAAATGAAGAGGTTTTAAGCATTCAGTAAGATTCTCACTGACTAAAAGCCAGGTTCTTACTCCTGCAAATTGATTTATTTCCAATAGTTTCAATGCAGCTGGGCTGATTTACTCCACTTTAAGGTCTTTCCTAATATTTGTATTTATTGAACTTGCTACCGTTTGCTGCTGCAACCTAAACAGATACTTCCATCCTCCATTGCTGTCTGAAACAGGTAACCCAGTAATATATGACTTACGAGATTTAAACCTGCTCAGAGTATTTTGATGTTCTGAAATGTTCATAATAATTCTCATTGGTTGTACTGCTCCCCCTGAGTTGTTTGCAGAGTTGTTTGCAGTCTGTACTTGATCAACAAAATGCTTATCCACCAGAAAAATGTGAGCTGTCTAATCTACTTCCAGGCCTGTTTCTTCCCTCCCTACTAGAAGACAGACTTCTCTGTCTACGTACAATGTCTAAGACAAAACTGAGTAATCCCAAATTTCCTCGCTTGTTCCAGAGGACCTGGCCTCTGGCTGCACAAAAAAAAAAAGAAACTACAAGATGAAAATATGTTTTTCAAAAGTAAAAAAAAAAAAAGATTTCTTTCATGCACTGGCTGCAGCCCTCAGAGCAATGCATCTGCCTCCCTTCATAGCTTTCACTTGTTTTACACTGTTCTCTTCTGGGAGGGATTTGAGCTGCTGTTCTGATCTTGACACAGCTATGGTCAGCCAAAGTATTTGCATTTGTGCTTCTGGGGCCTTAGCAGGAGACAGCTTATGGGCAGGCACAGAGCCACATCACACGCATTTTGAGAGAAGTCACAAAGGCCTGGCTAAAGATCAGTGTGTTCATAAAGGCAACAGGGAACCCAACCTGTGGGTTAACCTAAAATCGCAGTGGTTTCCCACTCCTCCAGAAGGAACTGCCTACGGAGCCCTTTCATGCCAGAGACCTTGGCAGGCTGTGTCTCGTAACAACTCAGGAAAGAAAACAGCAATGACTTGGCTGCTAATGAGAGCTGTGCATCCCCACACGTGTGTTGTGATCATCAGTCTTTACAGATGCCAGCAGCGGCTACAGCAGCACACTGCTCACTTACTGCACGGGGCTGGAGGCAACCTCAGGTCTGAGGATCTGACAAAATCCGCCTTTGTCTCAGTAGGTTTAGGACTGAGGGGTGCAACAGAAAGAGGTGGTGTTAGAGCCTAACCCCAATAAATGATATTGAATTGTAATGTGATTTAGCAAATGCACATTTTCTTTGTGTTCCAAAGAATTCTATTCAAACAGTGGCACGGTGTTACAGAAAAGCTGGCATTTGAATCTCACAGGGTTAGAATGGAGCACGTACATTCTGCACAACCTTCCTCCATCAGCAGCAATTTTATCTTTGCTTCACTTGCTCTGGGTGTTTCCAGGTCAGCCCAAATGCTCTGATGATGAGAAATAAACACAGAGAAAATGTGAATCACTCCCCAAAACAATTTAAAAGTTTTTAAAAAGAAATATGTATGTGTTTATTTACTGCATTATAACTGCAACACCAAATACATATTTTTCTTATTACAGAAAAGGGTGCATGCAGTGAAATACTCTGACTTTGTAACTTGAGGCGACACAGTTCATTGGTAAGAGTGGAGCATCAGCACAGTTACAAGGCTGGGTCTAAGGGTTAGGAACTTCCAGTCTCTTTATCCTGCTTGCCAACAGCAAAGCCACATCATATTTCATTTGTCATTAAAGGATGAACTTTCAGAATAATGTGGCCTGATCACAGAACAACCCAGCTGCCCTTTATTCCTGGAAAAGTCATACGGAATCAGATTCTTTTTACTTGAGAAAATACACTTTTGGCAATGCTGATGAACAAGCAGTAATTTTGCAGGCAGACAGTAGAATTCCTGCCATGCTCCACCACGATCACAGCACACACTGTGAGCCTCCACTGCACAGGTGCCCCCGCTGCTGCTCTGAAGAATGAAATCAGGCCATTTCCACAAGATTGCACTGCAGATATCTATTGCATTGGGTGCTTAATCCACTATTTCAGCTGCAGAAGGAGCAGGTTCGCAGTGCAGAAGGGAATGAAAATGCTGTCCTGAGGCACGGAGAATATAACCTCTTCCCCAGCTAAAAAGTCTCATTCTTTATTATAAAAGGGCCCGAGTCTGGCACTGCTATTCATCTATCAGAGGCTCTTATTTGTAATCTGTCCTGTGAAATTTCACGGGACTGTTTGTGAAATAAGTTCCTAAACAGTGTGAATAAATTCCAGAATCAGGCCCCAAGCTGGCACCATTTCCAGCATAAACTCTCTTGATTTTCAGTCAAGACTTTTTAGTAAGTGCTACATAACACAGCCCAGACTTGCAAAAAAATGACCTGATTTCTTTCCGCACATCTTGTGTAAAATAACACTAAGGACATCTTAGCTTCGGCAATTTAAATGAAAAATAAAGTCAGTCTTTCTATGCAGTTCTATTTTTACATGATTTCATAGAGACATTATACAGAAGCTTACAGCTCCTGGAGATAATTCTAGCATACAGGAGGACATATATGAAAACAAAGGTCTTCAAAACTACACGGAAATCTGTAGAATAAAATATATATTTATATATTATTTTCCAACAGGCAATAGGCAGTTTAGAAAAATATGAGTGTTACAGTCCTTCTGAATCAATAGTTATACAAAGAAAGGTTTTAAAAAATAAGTTTATCTTTTCAAAAAGCCACTTTTATAAGAAAATAGACTGGTCCGCATTTCCCTGAATAAGCCAGAAAGGTTAAGGAAAGGTCTGGGCAAGACAAGGAGTCTGCCTTGGACTTGATATCAGCTGTGATAACATGCACATGTACAGAGGCAGCTGCTTGGCTCTGGTATTGTTTACCTTAGGAACAAGCCTAATTTATCACAAATGTATTTTAAAATCATAAATAACATGACAAAAGTGGCACTGGTCCCTGCAATGCAAATAATTATTCATACAAGCAAAAAGTGACATCAATCCAGTTATTGTGACACTTGAAAAGTATTCTGTACCCTTTGGTTACATTGAACAGCACATGTACAAACACTGATTATTATTACAGACTCTCCTATCAGCTACTATACATAAACAAGAAGAGATGTTCACACTGTAATTGCCCCTAACATTTCTGTTCGACTTAAGTATTAGCATTCAGGAGAAGCTGGGCTGGTGGGGGAGGCCTGAACTCAAGGCAGGATTTCAACATGCAGAGGGCATGGGGTTCTGCTCCTCCCCACTGCCAGCCCTGGCCCCTCAGAGGAGCTCTAAAGAATTAAAACTGTTCACAATGTGTGCTCTTATGTGATCAGCCCTAGGTTTTCTTGATGCCCAGAAGGAGGTGATCTAACATGGGGCACACAGGTGAAATTGAGATCCATATCAATAAACCTAATTCTGGAGAATTCTCATTTTCATCCAATGCCACTTATAAAAGAATACCTTGATATTTGCAAACTTTCATATTAAAAGCAGAGAGTGGATTGATTATAGAAAACTTCGCCTTGGTTTGTTCTTGATAACTTTTAAATACATTATTTAGAAGCTCTTATTAATTTTGTTCAAAACAGGAGTAGATTCCTTCTATTTTTTTTTGTGAACCATAATGGTTCTAGGATATCTGTGCATCCTAGAAGGGAGTCTTAGCACATTTCTTTAAATTTTCTTCTAGCTTAAAACTAAACAAAAGCACATAAATGGGTGGAAGTAAGATTGATGGCGTGCTGGTGAGGAGACCCAAGGTAGTTTATAATCCAGACTTGTTCATTAAATTGGGCCCGAGACAGCCAGCTGTTTTGAGAAGTGTGGACAAGTCCTCTGCAGAAGCACTGCAAGTCAGTTATATTGCTAGCAAACAACAATGCAATTTCTGGGTCTCCTACTACATTTAACATCAGTGCAGCATTACGTATTAAAACAGACAATGACAGAAGAATGCAACACCAGTCATATTGCTCATAAAATTGTTTCACAGTGGTCCAGCACGCTGCAAGAGATGAGAGGAAGGTAAGAGGCCAGCCTGGAGACTTGGCAGGTGGAGGACACTCTCCCGGAATCAGTGATAAACTGGGTTAACACAAATTAGAAGGAAAAAATGGAAATAATGACAGTGATTAAAAGCAATGCATTCACTGAGACAAAACCAGTCAGGGTTTCAAAGAAGCATTGCTGACTTCCAGTCAACCAATTGTACAGAGCAGGAACTGCTGTTTGAGAATGGACACACACTGAAAACATGCAGCAGCCAAATACCTTCAGAAATAGTCAGTGCTCAGCCTGTGCTTCCCAGGTTAAACTCTTACAGGATCTGATCTGGGAAGGTAATGGGAAATAATCCTGGATGCTTTTCACCTCAGAGGCCGAAGCCCTGACTCAAAGCTTATTAAAGCTTATTAAACACATACCTCTAAACATTCTCAGCTTCCTTTTAAGACATAATTACTTCTAAAAGCTGCACTTGAAAGTTACATTGAAGTGGAATGTCATCTTTCTTTAAGTAGAACAATAATTACACACCCATTACATGTATATAGGTCTCTCCAAAACTAATGCCTCCTACTTCTTTCATGGAAATTATCACAGATGCAAAAAGCACGGTAACAGTATTTGATGGAGCAAATTTTAGCTACAAAATTTTTCAACATAGTCACCACCATTAGCTCTGTATTTTTGCCAGCAATGAATAAAAACCTGTGTGCCACACTGGTAAAAATCCCACTGTCGCTGTCACCTCTGCTGAAATGCACCACCCACTGCCTCACTGTGCTCACATCCACCACTTTATCTCCCAAGACATCCTCCAAGCATCAATGGATGTCAGTGGGTGCCATTTTTTCCACATTCAATGACAAGCTTTTGCTTCATCTGTGCTTCCATGTCAGATGCCAATTTGTCAGAGTGCCCCTCTTCTGTTGACTGTCACACAGCAACAAAATATTGGTGGGAAGGCTCAGCCCCTACTGCCATACCACCAACATCTGCCTCTGACATCGTGGGCCAACATAATAACACAGGAGGCATTAATTTCAGAGTAGCCCTTGTATATACACACATATGTATTTCTTAGCCATGGAAAATACCATACAGAAGTATTAATATCTGTAATGAAACCAAGCTTGTGGTGTTCAATGCTTATTATACTTGACAACAAAAAAACAAACAAAAAACAATTTGGTTTTGAAAGCAGGGGCATTTAGGAGCAGTAACAACTCCAGGCCCTGGCTGAAGGCCTCATGCAAAGCATGGTGCCAGCCGGCAGCTACAGCCTTCCTTTGGTTTTCAGCTGCCCCAAACTCCCCTCTCTTTTTTAACATATAGCTTTTGACCAAATAAAATTGAACTAAAATAGTTTGTTAGGGAGCATAATGAAACCACCTTGATAAAATTGACAACTTTTTTTTCTAACGAAAAAAAAAGAAAAGAAAAAAAAGAGATCCTGGCTTAAGATGATGTGTAACAGAACATTCAGCCATTCCAGGCAGCTCAAGGGCACAGTGCACTGAGGAGACAGTCCAGCTCAGCTGCACATGGTAGCATTTACATAGGCAGCAACAACCAAGGGTAATAAGATCTGAAACTGAAACTCTGTCCCTCCTTGTCAAATAATGGGCAATTTTCTTTGTGCAATGATTGGATTAGCAATCAAAACCTGATTAGAGAGAAGAGAAAAAGCACCTAGGCAGGCTATGAACAATACTAAGGGCAGGGCTTTCATCACCAATAATGGTTTGTTAGCACTTCTTTGGACTCCAAGCTGCAGATGTGAATATTGAGACAGTCTCTGAGCTACCACAGAAGGCAGATGGGGGCAAGACCTGGTCAGGAGGCTCAGGAGAGATGGTGGCAGGGACCAGAGCCCCTTGGATGGCTCCAAAGACTGTTCTGGTACAGGTGGAAATGGGAAAAGGCAGAGCATCTGCAGGAGGAACTGCAAGTGGAGGAGAAGACAGGGCAGGCCATCAAGCTTGGATTAGGATGTTCAGCTGGGAGAGAACACAGGAGACAGGACTGGATGCGGGCAAGGAAGGGGATTAGCAGGGATTTGTTTTGAGGGGCTCTGTTGAGAAAAGGCCACAATACAAATTCAAAGGGTAGGCTAATCTGTGTTGTGTAAGAGAATGGTGACAGGGATGGTCAAGTGCATGGCTGACTTTCAACACAGTAAGTGGCAGAGAAGACTAGGTTCACTTTAATAAGGAAACAAAGTAGAGAAGATGTGATAAAAGAAGCAGGACAAATGATCTGGAGAGGGTAACACTGGTCCTCCTGTTTCCTTGGATTCAACACACAGGGGCCAGAAGAAGAAAGTCAAACAATTCCCACCAATGCAAAGTCAGTTCATTGGAATACCTTTTTCACACAGCTTGGAAGGAGGACATGGAACTCATTGCTAGGATGGCTTAGAA